TTTGTTTGTTTTATTTTGTTTTTCTGGTACTGGGAATCAAACTCAGGACCTTGTGCTTGCCAGGCAGGTGCTTATGCTACTGAGATATATCCTCGGCCCCACCCTGGTCATTTTGTTTTGTTTTGTTTTGTTTTGTTTTGTCTTTTTGAGACAGGGTCTCGCTATGCAGTTCAGGCTGGCCTTGGGCTCACTTTGTAGCCCAGGCTGGTCTGTAACTCACAGTGATCCTCCTGCCTCAGCCTCTCGAGTGCTGGGTTTACAGACGTGCGCCACCACGCCCGGCTACTCTGGTCATTTTCATGGGCTTTTGGCTCCAATGTGACCTTCTCTTCCTGAACCCTCCAAATCTGTGAAAACCCAATAAATACAGTGATCAGGAAGAGTCCTTGTCTTTACTCCAAAAGAGTTTTGACCTTCCTAGATTCCACCCAAACCATACCTCTTGTCTCTTTTTATTTAAGCCTTCACTGTAACTTGTTTTAGGAGATTGGGGGCTAGTCCTAGTCCCCAATAAGCTAGGGGTAGTGGCACATACCTATACCCAGCACTCTGGGAGGCTGAGGCAGAAGGATCACAAATCTGAGCCAAACCTGGGCAACTTCACCATGTCACAAGATCCTGCTTTCTTTTTTTTCTTTTTTGTCTTTTTGAGACAGGGTCTTGCTAAGCAGTTCAGGATGACCTTGAGCTCACTTTGTAGCCCAGGCTGGCCTCGAACTTGCAATGATCGTCCTGCCTCAGCCTCCCGAGTGTTGGGATTACAGGCGTTCACCACCACACCCGGCCCAAGATCCTGCTTTAAAAGAAAAAGAAAAGAAAAAAAAAAAAAAAAAAGGCTGAAGATGTAGCCCCCTAAAAAGGTTTGCCTCAGAATCATTCAGTAAGCCAGCAGTGGTGGCACACGCTTGTAATCCCAGCACTCAGGAGGCTGAGGCAGGAGGACTGTTGCGAGTTCAAGGCTACAAAGTGAGCTCAAGGCCAGCCTGAACTGCATAGCAAGACAATGTCTCAAAAAGACCAAAAAAAAAAAAAAAAAAAAAAAAAAAAAAGAATAATTCAGTAAGCCTTACTTTGTTTGGTGTGTTTTCTACATTTGTGCTTTAGTATATACTGAATATTAAAAGGAAGCATTGTGAACAACTTTATGCCAATAAATTCAACAACTTAGAGAAATGGACAGACATTTGAAAAACACAACCTACCGAAACTAAAAATGAAATGAGAAGTATACTGAAGGAATCCAATTGCTGCCATTCTAGGCTGTAGTTATTACCAAAGAGATTTGTCATAAAAAACATCCCCATAAAATCAAGCCTGGTGACTCACGCCTGTACTCCACTCGGGAGGCTGAGGCAGGAGGATCATTGCAAGTTCAAGGCCAGCCTGGGCTACACAGTGAACTCAAGGCCAGCCTGAACTGCACAGCAAGACCCTGTGTCAAAAAAAAAATGAAAAATCACTGAACACCATTCATAGTTGAGATACCAACACACTACTTGGAAAGTGGTAAGTAAGGGAAGAGATTTAAACATTTCTGATATTAACTTTATTTCAGGGTAACCAAATGATCCTGGAGGAGGTGAAAAAAATTTTTCTGAACAGAAACAAGAGCTAGTAATGAAGAAATAATTCTATTAGAAAGTCACAGTTTTGCCAGGTGTGGTGGTGCATGCATTCAGGAGGCTGAGGCAGGAGGATCATTGTGAGTTCGAGACCAGCCTGGGCTACAAAGCAAGCTCAAGTCTGGCCTGAACTGCATAGCGAGACCCTGTCTCAAAAAGACAAAAATTAAAAAAAAGAAAGTCACAGTTTCATAATTCCTAGCAGAGTAACCACCTGATAAAACGATCCATGGATGGCGAGACTTGAGCGATGCAGGCAGCAAGGAACTTCGTGAGGCGGGGGCTGGGCAGCCCCACCTGGAACCTGACCAGGACGGTGGAGCCGGGCTTCGGCCCAGGAGCACCTGTACTGTGTAGAATTAAGTGAAAAATAAATCTTTATTGGGTTAAATCACTGAAATGTGGGAGCCATTCATTATAGAAGACAGTTGAATGTCAAAGCGTATCGTTTATATAGAAGCATATAATTACATTAAAGATACACACATATCCAAACACACAGTGCTGACACAGGCGAGGCCACCCCTATGGCAGGGAGAGGTGTGAGAACAGGGACCAGGGGCCAAAAGGAGCAAGAAAATAAGACAGGGGTCTAGTAGCAACTGGTGGTGAGAATTCACCATGCACGGAGGGGCGTGGTTTCGCTAACCCTGGCTTCAATCCGGAACACCACAAAAACAAACAAAACTCCCCAAGCAAAACAAAGCTATTCAGGAGCAAAAATAATTTAAAGAGAGAGAACTAACCCACCTAATCTACAGCGCCCAGCTACCTGACTGGGAGTTCAACTGTCTCCTGGCTGCAAAGCCACGCAGAACGGCTCCGCAGGGCGGCCGGGGCTGAGGAGCCGTTCTCCTTGGTCGCCAGGAGGGTCACAGGCCTACCCAGGTTCCCCAGCTGTGTCTGATGTCCGTGGTGAAGGAGTCACTTGCTGCTCTTCCTAAGGCCTCATCACTCGCTCCAGGCTGAGAAAGGGGGGACCTGGCACAGGGACGTTCTGGGCCAGGGCGGATCTTCCCGCCCACACTACGCCCTCAACTGTGGCTGGTTGGATTCCCCCCAAAGATGCGCACTACCCAGGACTTATGAATATATATCTGAAGTGGCAAAAAGGCACTTTAAAATGTGATTAAAATAAGGATTTAAAAAAAACAAAATAAGGGGCCTGGGGATTTAGCTCAGCAACACAGCCAACCCTGTGGGTTGGATTTAGCTGGATTGGTTAAATTGGTTGGATTTAGCTCACCAACCCTGCCCGGCAAGCGCAAGGTCGTGAGTTCAATTCCCGGTACTGGAAAAAAAAAAAAAAAAAAAAAAGGATTCTGAGGTGGGGAGATGATCCTGGATAATCCCAGTGGGCTCAATGCAATCCCAACGGTATGAACTCATAGCATAATCCGTACCGAAGCGAGCAGCAGAATGACGGAGAGGGATGTAGGGAAGGAGGTGGAATTCAGGTAGATGAAAATATAACAGGCAGCCGACCTAGAAGACGGAGAAAGGCTTGCGGTTGTGGGGCACACGCGCATAATCATGGTGCTCTAGGAGGCTGAGGCACGAGTATCCTAAATTCAAGGCCAGTCTGGGCAATTTAGTGATTTAGTGAGACCCTGTCTCAAAATATTTAAACAAACAAAAAAAAAAGGGCAGGGTCCCATTGCCAGCGCTGGGGGTGGGGGGTGGAGGAGACAGGAACCTAGGAAAGCAAGCAAGCAAGCTCAGAAGGCGGAAAGAGAAGCAGGGCCTCCCGCGGTCTCCCAAGGGCACAGACTATCAGCACTTCCACGCCAGCCCAGGGAAGCCGATTTCAAGCTTCCAGCCTCCAGAGCTGTAACACACGTGGTTTCCAAGCCTCTAGGTTTGTGATAACTTGGCAGAGCAGCAATAAGGAATTACCAGGCTGCCTCCGCTCCCGGGCAGCACTAACTTACTGTCCTGGGTGACTAAGGACTGCAGGAGTGCGAAGGGTGCGGTGGGGAATCGGAGGTGACTTCCTAGAAGTCCCTGCAATGACTCATCTGTTACCCGACCTTGGGCACATGTTTTTAGCAACAACGCACTGTCAACAATGTGCATTGTATAGAGTGGCTAAGAATGAGAGGGTTTTAAATTACCGAGTGTGGAAGCACCAATCGGTGTTTCCTGTAAGTCACATTTCCTTGTGGCTTTCTGCACACGCGCGGAACAGGTGTAACCTAACACCCAGTGTGGCTGGCACCGTGTACGAGGCAGCCTTGTGTCCACTGCAACCCCGGCGTTTCTCACCGAAGCAGCCGAGCGTCCGGGAGTCCCAGGTGCGGCCCCAGCCCTGCCCCTCGCCTGCTCTCACGTCTCACGTGTCCGGACAACCGCGCATCCTCCCAGGGGCTGCCGCTGCTGTCACGCGGCCTCCTCCCCGCCTTCACCCTGAGCCCTAACAAAAGCCCCGCACACCTGGAGAGCGGCAGCCCCCTCTCTCGTCATTTCAGCACCCAGATTGCATGTCTTTCCTGCCTCTCCATCTCTCACCCTTTTCCTCCTTTCTTCTTCTCTGAGCTCCCTAACAGCTCCTCTTTGTAACCCAGAAAAGTCACACCTAAAAGGGGGGCTGAGCCTCAACCAGCCGGTCCACAGGCAGGGCGCAGGGGGCCGAGGCTGTGTGTTTACTCGGGTTCCTAGGCCTCTCTGGTAGGGAGCTGGAGTATGAAGGCAGTGTGCCTTGACCTCCTCAGAGACTCCAGGAAGCCTTGCTTGGGCTCACCAGCCCCTCTCTCCAGCGCCTACCTGCGCGCCCTGCGGTGTGCACCCCTTCCCCACAGGACCTACCTGGTTTTCCTGCTTTCATGCTCCCCACCCCACCCTGCTGCTCCTCTCCAGGTCTGAAACAGTGGGTTTTGTCCCCTTAACGTTGGAACCTACTTTTCCTCCCAGAAAAAAATGATTGGCCCAGTACTGATTCTCCTCTTATCCAACGTGCCCTTCTCCCCCTCAGGCCGCGAGTCCTCAGAACCCGTTGCTCCTTCTCTGACACTGGGCTGTCTTTTTCGGGTGCAAAATTATAGGCCAAATATAACAGAGAAAAGTGTTTCCAGTGTCTTTGGGCTTTGGGGACATGGACTGGAAAGTATGACCAAGTGACAGAGCTGTGGGCATGCAGACAAGCAATCTGGGCCTTGCCACAGCTTTACAATGGGTGACACTAGCGGGGAGTGGTGGCGCACACCTGTAATCCCAGGACTCAGGAGGCTGAGGCAGGAGGATTGCCATAAATTCCAGGCCAGCTTGGGCTACACAGTGAGTTCCAGGCCAGTCTGAGCTACACAGCGAGACATCGTCTCAAAAAAAGAGAAAAACCAATGGGTGAAACTAGCGTATCTGTATACTGGTGACCTCCCCTGGTTCTGTGAAAGGCTAAACTATATTTTATTTGAGCTTGCAGGGTCTACTCATCAATCATAGCAATAGCACAAAATGGCCACAAGGAGGCAGCCAACCTCTTCAGCCCAGAAATTGGTGGACTAGATGCCGCCTCCGAAATACAATGGCTTCCAAGAGGAAGGGCAGTTACTCAAGGGCACACTACAAAACAGTACAGACTAGGGATTTGAAGTGAAGTATTTGAATTCCTAGTCTGAGGGGGAACTCAGGAAGCCCAGGACCATGAGAAACGGTAAGCACAGGGATGGCAGGCGGTAAAGAAGGTGCAGAGAGGAGATTTGGAGATTTAAAACACTTTGAGCGGATGGCAAGAGGCAAGTGGGTCTGCACGGCACAGCCGTGGAAGCCATGTATTGCTCAGAAGCACTGGGGGAGGCGCGACACAGCCCCGCGGAAGTACTATTAAGTAGAACATAACATAAAACCTAAAATACAAAGTAAGGAAATGGCAGAACTATTCCAGGATTTTGGGGCGACTGCTCCGTACAACAGTACAACACACTAAACAACCAAAGATCACCCTTCTTGCTCCCTTTTTTCCCTCTAGTAATCTGATTTTGGAGCCCAGAAAAGACAGGGACGATTACCTGGGGTTCAGAGGGTTAACCTCCAAGAATTCATTCTGATATTCGCCATGGCCCCATCCCCCCACACCGCCTCGCTGACCCCCAGGTTAGCAGTTTCCCTGAATTCCTTCTTTGGTGTAATTAGCTAGGTCCGTGGGACACAGCCCTCCAGAGGTGGTCCCCTGCTCCCTTCCTAGGGCCCAGAGCTAGCTGTAAGAGAGGAAAGAAGGACTTTCCCTCGCCTGTCCCCTGGATGGGGCCCAGGGACCAAAGAGCCTTTGTCTTTTCCTGCCACGCCCCCGCATTGTAGCCCAGACAAGGGGATTCTTGTGTCCCGACCGCGGGCAGGCATCCTTGTGACCAAACGGTGGAAGGCTGGACGGGGTGGGGGAAGGGCACTCACGGACTCAGAGAAAAACAACACCTCCCCAGCATCCAAGATTCTGGTGTAATCTCGGTGCCCCGAGACCTCAAGTTTCTGCCTCTCAGGCCAGGGATAGAGCTCAGTGGCACAGCGCCGGCCTAGCAAGCCCAAGGTCCTGAGTTCTGTTGCCGGTACAAAAAAAAACAGTTTCTCCTCTAGCTCCCATCTGTAATGGGTGGGACCAGGACTCATCTGCATATAAAAGGACTGAAGGCAGAAGAGGAGACTGAGAAGTTATGGAAGCACAGAAATAGAACCTTCCTACCAGGAGGCAAGAAGTCAGACTATAGCTAGGGATATAGCTCAGCAGCACAAGCGCCGGCCTGGCATGCGCGAGGTCCTGAGTGCGATTCCCGGTACCAAAAAAAAAAAAAAGTCAGAATACAGAAATGGGGCCGGCCAGGAGCACGGTAAGACAGGGCTCCGTGGCAGAGCAGGCAAGCAGATGTGAGAGCCACAGGTGGAGGCCTCTGACTATTTCTCTCCCTAAAAGAACAAAGATAGGAGTACTGGTACCCAAGAGAGATGCGGCCACAGAGGAAGTGAGATGCCCCAGGACGAAATGAGAACACCCTGTCTGACAAGCAGCACACATGTCTTCCAATGAGAAACCTTCCTGTTGGAGGATGACGTGTTCCCACTCAAAAGAAGTAATGGTATACGTTAAGTGATTGGTCCTGCTTAGCAGCAGGGACTTAGACATCCCGATCACATAGTCCATCCTGGCAGGAAATGATATCACTCAGCAGATAGGAAGGGGTGGGTCTACCAACTCCAAAGACTTCTGGGAGGACAGAGCCATGAAGGGCTGGCCCTCAATGTCCATGTCCCTCCTTTGGGCCAAGAAAAGACAAAGCTCCTAGCCTTCGGGTGAGGTAATTACACCCCCACCACTTCATCAGTGACCTCCCATGGCTCCTTAAATCCTTATAAAGCAAGGGGAGGAAGATGGAGATACCCTCCCACAAGGAGCCCCAGCCCCAGCATCACCCAGCATCCAGAGTCAGCATCTCTATGGTAATAGCTCTAGGGACTGGATAATTGAGGGATAAAGACAGAGAATCTCCAGGGACCACAGGAAGGGTGAGCTAGGTTTCCATGGTAACTGGTTTCAGTTACCATGAGCCTATTCCTAGTCTCAGATTTGAGAGATAACAAATTTTGAGGGAGACCAGGACCAAGGATGAAAGTGCCACAGGAACACAAAGGCGTGCAAAAACTGTTACAAGAAGGTCACGTCATCCTGGCACTGTCCCCAGTACCAGTGAGCCTCAAAGCCCAGCGTGGCACTCTCATCCTCTGGGGGCTCAGGTGGTCCACCTTGCACCCCCTCTCCCGGGGGCTTCCATAAAGCCCCCCAGCCCCCTAGCCTGGTGGCCGTCAGATCCACACCAGTCCTGGCCCTCTCCTCTCCAGGTATCACCTTGGCCCAGTCCATCTCGGGACAGGGACCCCCGGCGGGGCCCTGTTCATCCGGCTCTCTGGGGGCCACGGTGTCCAAGAAACTGCCGATAGACACACTGTCCAGCCGGTCCGTGGAGCTGGTGTCCGGCAGGCTGTCCCAGCTGCCCCGCCTTGAGCGGCCCGGGCTGCCGCCCGTCAGGCTGTATTGGCTGCTGGTGAGACTGCTGCAGTGGCTGGTCAACGTGCCCCGCTCCTCCAGCAGCCAGCGCAGGGCCTCGATCCCCTCATTCAAGGTCACCAGCTGCTGCAGGATCTTCACGTCGATGGCTCTCAGGGAAGCCTGGGGAGCAGAAGAAGGAATCAGTCTGCGTGCTGGGCTCTGGGTTTCCCTGGGGTTTCAGGGAAAGACCCCTACCTCCCTGTGATCCAACCAACTGAGCTTCACTTTCAAGAAGGAAGGGGAAAGGATTCAAAAGAGTGGGCTTCAGAAGCAAGCAGACCGCTATTTACGATTTCAGCCCGGACTGGAGAAGTAGCTCAGTCTAGCACACACGAGGCCCTGGGTTCAATACTCAGTAACAAAAAAACCAACCCCCAGACCAACCAAAAACTCTACCACTGATGAGCTATCTGACTGAGCTCCAGTTTGTAAAACTAGGGCCAAATCACTCAGCCCGCATGGTGGCCCTAAGGGTTTTGATCTGCTGTCTGCTAAGAACTCAGCACAGTACCTGAGCTGTGCTGAGTTCCTCATCCCAGCTATCATGCCCGCGCTAGGCTGTGAGGTGTCTTTTTTTCTTTTCCTTCCTTTTTTTCTTTAGCCCCAAAATCTGCTCTTCAGAGCTTGTTCTTCCCCTTCTGTTTTCCTACCATTAATAAAGGTGAAACTTCGCCACCATTAAAAGAATAAATAAGTAAATAAATCCAATCCAATCCCACGAGGCTTTTAACTTGCTATTTAGGGCATTAACTACCGAACTGGTCCAGATTCACCAGTAACGCGTAGAAACAGCCAAAGCATCGCGTGGTAGGATGTTCCCATACTCGGGAAGTGCGCTGGGCCGACGCAGGTGGACATGAGGAATACAGAGGGAGCTGGTTTGCTAGTCCTGTCAGGGCCCTGGCAGCAAGACCGAGGGCAGGAAGGGCCGCTCAGAGCGAAGAAGAGTCCAGCTGCCACCGTGTGAGCTGCCCTCCGCCACACTCCTCTCTCCGCACTGGAGGGTGCGGACTTATTGGGTACTCTCTAGGGTCCCTCCTGCTCAGACACACCCAATTACCTCCCCGATGCACGAGTCTGAACTTGTCCCTCCCCTGCTCAAGAGGGATTTAGGGGCTTTGCGCTGCTTTTAGAGAATGAAATCTAAACACGTTAGCAGCTGGCGTTCACAGCCCCATTGGTCCCATGGCCTCTGTCTCTAGCTTTGCATCTAGCATACTTTCCTGCGAAGCCAAGGTCCTGCCACCGCATAATTTTTAAAATTTACAGCTGGGCGTGGTGGTGCACGCCTGTAATCCCAGCACTTGGGAGCCCGAGGAAAGAGGATCGTTGTGAGTTTGAGGCCAGCCTGGGCTACAAAGTGAGCTCAAGGCCAGCCTGAACTGCACAGTGAGACCTTGTTTGAAAAAGACCAAAAAATAAAAAATAAATAAAATTTAGTTTCACTTTTTTTGTGTTTTGTTTTTTTTTTTCTGGTACCAGGAATCGAACTCATGACCTTGCGCTTGCCAGGCAGGCGCTGTGCCGCTGAGCTAAATCCCCAGCCCCTAGTTTCACCTTTAATCAAATTAGTAGATGAATATAAGGAGGGCGTGTTTGGGCTGGGGATTTAGCTCAATGGGCTGGGGATTTAGCTCAATGGGCTGGGGATTTAGCTCAGCGGCACAGCACCTGGCCGGCAAGTGCAAGGTCGTGAGTTCAATCCCTAGTACGGGGGAAAAAAAAAAAAAGGAGGGCGCGTTTGACAAGATTTCTAACAGTTTCTCCACCCTAATCCTAAATCCAACTCCCCAGAGAAAATGATTCATTTTTCTGTTGTTGTCCTTGTTATTGTTTTGTAGTACTAGCAACTGAATCAAAGGCCTTTCCACTGAGCTATGGCCCGAGGCCTTTTTCACTTTTTGAGACAGTTTTTCTCTAAACTGTCCAGGCTGGCTGGGAGTGGTGCCACACAGCTGTAATGCCAGCACTCAGGAGGCTGAGGCAGGAGGATCACCAAGAGTTCAAGGCCAGTCTGGGCTACATAGTGAGTTCAGCTCAGCCTGAACTACATAACAAAACATTGTCTCAAAAAAAAATAATTAATTAAATTTTAAAAATTAATTGCTGCACTCAAAATTGTAATCTTTCTGCCTCAGCCTTTCAGAATAGTGGGATTTCTGGTATATACCACCATACAGGTCTAGGTTTTTGTTGATGTTTTTGAGGCAAGATCTTACTATGTGCAGTTCAGGCTGGGCTTGAACTCACTATGTAGCCCAGGCTGGCC